CGTCACTAGTGTGTGTTCTCCCCGACCCTTGTCTCTAAACTCTGCCTGTCTCTTCTTAGCACATCAACCCCATAGCTGCTAACCTCATCCAGAAGATGCTGAGGTCCGACCCTGCCACGCGCCCAACTATCGACGAGTTGCTGAATGACGAGTTCTTCACGTCAGGATACATCCCCAGCCGCTTGCCCACCAGCTGTCTCACTGTTGCACCTAGATTTTCAATTGCTCCCAGTGGGCTCGAACTGAACGGGCGAAAGCCGCTGACTGCACTCAACAAAGGTAAGAACAAGTGTCCCCAGGTGAGGCTGGGCCGCAGTGCGGGATGAGAGCCTGCCCGGCCTCCAGACCCACTGATGGGGAATGTGGTGCTCCTTCACTGCTTCCCCCAATTCTTATGAAAACCTGGAACATCTTGTGAGCGAGAGAGAGGTGTTCTCACTCTTTGCCCAGAACCAATGCAGGTAGGAAGTGCCAGCGCTAGCTTTAGCTATATGATGTGTAATGTGTTTCCTATAGCTAGGGTAGAATGTAAATCTGGTGCCTTTAGGAACCTACTCCCTGGTCACGCCTCCACACTCTTTTCTTTCCTGGCCCAGGACCAGACAGCCCTGCGCTAGAGAACTTGCCTGGAAAGGAAGATGCGGCTGGGCTGCGGGAGCTGGGAGATGCTGTTGATTGTCACTTAGCAGACATGTTACAGCAGCTGACGGCAGTCAACTCGGCCAAGCCCTCTGAGAGAGTGGCAGTGAGACAAGGTGAGTCTGGGGACGAATCCCCAGCCTTCCTGGATAACTTGCTTCTCTGTCACTCTGATGCTGTTCTCTGAAGTGAGAGACCAACTGACCTCAATTTCAAACTGGAAGCCTTTTGGCCTTGCTTGCTGGAGTGCACAGGATGCTGTGAAATGTCTCCTAACCAGCTCCTTTCTCTTTGCAGAAGAAGCTGAAGACCCAGCCTGCATTCCCATCTTCTGGGTTAGCAAATGGGTGGACTACTCGGATAAATACGGTCTAGGTAAATAATAGGGGGGAATACTTCAGCCTCTTCTAGTTTCTGAAGAGGCTGGAAGGAAGCTTTGATCTGGGCATTGCACAGGTATGGTTCTCTAATCACAGTATTCCAGTGTGTGTGTCCAAGACTGCTGCCAGGAACGTTACCAAACACCCAATGAATCCAGAGTAGTGGTCACCGAACATCAGCCCTGGCCACTTTAAGGTGGGAAATGGCTACCTGCTGCATGAGGTGGCCGGCCTTGCTCTGCAGTGAGCACGTGCACCCACTTGTGGCAGTTAAAGCTGCTTCTGCAGCAGGTGATGAAGCAAGGGAGGATGACAAATCCAGAGGAGGAACAGTGCCACCCAGACCTCTGCAAAGAGGAGACTCTTCAGACCTGGCAGGGACTTGGTGGAGTGGCTGTCAGGGAACCCCTAGATGATACAACCTTCTGTCTTTGTATTTCACACGACTGGTGGTACCTTGTATTTGAAGGCCTAACGTGGTCCCATTTGAACTAGGTTACCAGCTGTGTGACAACAGTGTTGGAGTTCTCTTCAATGACTCCACTCGTCTTATTATGTACAACGATGGGGACAGCTTGCAGTACATCGAACAAAACAGCACCGAGTCCTACTTCACTGTGAGATCCTACCCCTCTGCCTTGAACAAGAAGGTCAGTCCAGGGGACAGGAGCCATCACTGGGGGGTGGCACTTCTGCCAGCCTTGCTGGGCTTTGGCAGAGTGGGTTCTAGGGAGAAACATCTGTAATTTGGGGTCACTGGCATTCTGCAGGCTGCTTCTTGGCTGGTGAAACATTGCCCCAAGGACATACACTGGCAGCTCTAATGGTTTGCTTCTAGCTGCTGTCTGAGGCTCATCTATGAGCAGCTTCATAGAAATAAGCGCTCACAAGACTTTGCATGTACTAAAGCACTCAGCAAAGTGAATCTCAAGTATTGCAGAACAAGTTGACTTGGAGAATTTGCACAAGTTTGTGCAGCGATGCCTCAAGCTCTGAGAGGTGAAGGAGGGACTGCGATAGCTGCCCCTGTGCTCCCCGAATAGCAGGGGCAATCCTCAGCCTGTCTGCTCACAGCCTTTCCTCTCTGCAGATAACACTATTGAAATATTTCCGGAACTACATGAGCGAGCACTTGCTGAAGGCAGGTGCTAACATCACACCGCGGGAAGGAGACGAGCTGGCCCGTTTACCCTATCTCTGCACGTGGTTCCGGACCCGCAGCGCCATCATCCTGCACCTCAGCAACGGCACTGTGCAGATCAACTTCTTCCAGGTGAGGCTGCTACTCTGCTTTTTCCAGGGCTGTAGCTCTACCTGCTGAAAGAGCCCTGCTATGTGCACTGAGCCAAAGCTTTGCCCAGTGAACTGAGCACTGGGAGGCTCCTTACTCCCCCTTGCTGGTACATAAACCACCCAGACGCTCTTAGCTTGTGAAGGCGCTGTGTCCTTTAGCAGGAGGGACACTGCTGCACAGGCTTAGGTGCAGTGGTCTTGAGCTGGTCAGCCAGATTTGTTCCCCTTTGCTGCAATCTAGGAATGAATGCTGCAGCCTGACGCTTTGTCAGCGTGCTTCTGGGTGCAGCTGGGATGCCCCAATTTAGAGATGGTTCATCCTGAGCAGATGCAGTCCCCAAGGAGCAGAGTGCTCAGGGTGATGGTGTGTTCTCTCCCCACAGGACCACACCAAAGTCATCTTGTGCCCTCTCATGGCTGCTGTCACATACATAGATGAGAAACGGGACTTCCGCACCTACAAGCTGAGCCTCATCGAGGAACACGGGTGCTGTAAGGAGCTGGCCAGCCGGCTCCGCTATGCTCGCACCATGGTGGAGAAGCTCCTCAGTTCAAAGTCTGGCTCAGCCCGTGTGAAACCCTCTGCTTAGACCTTGTTCTCGATGGACTCACCACCTGTGCCAAACTGTCCCAGCTGTGGATGGGGAGGTCTAGCAGCATCCCTGCTCGCACTGTAACCTCTCCACAAATAGCTGGGCTCCCGCTCCTGGCTATGGCCTAGGTGCCCCAAGGAAGCCCCTGATGCTGTGGGAATGACGTTGTTCACTTTGACTGGTACCCAAAGGTTTCTTGCTCCCCACTCCTAATAGAAAGTCTATTTTTTAATTGCATAATAGTCTTTTTCCCCCCCTAACTTTCCAAAGCCAAAAGCCTGACTCAAAAACCAAGCCTCTTGTCTTGAGGCTCCTGGGCCTTCTCCTGAGAGAACAAAGCATGGGGAGAGCAGAACTATCATGTAAGTTATTTGTACATGTCTGTGCCGATGCTCTAGGCTTTTGTTTCCTCTTGTAGAAATTCAGGTAAGATATTTAACGTGCCCAGGGTGAGACTGAGCAATCGGCCTTTTAATACTGAAACTAATGTACATGAAACCTAAACTTTTGTATATTGCATAACTTGATTAAAGATTGTTCGCTGCAGCGTCCAGCCTGTTGTGGTTCCCTTTGGCTTGCTGTGAGGGAAGGAACAGCACCTCTGCCTTCCCCTCCAAGCAAGAGCTGTCCTCTTCACCAGCTCATGCTGCCTGCTTGATTGTGCTGTGCTGCAGGAAAGGGGACCTTGGGGGTATGACAGGAGATGTGCTCTAAGCTGGAGGCTAGAGCCTTCTCATTTCCCATTTCCTTGGGCTCTCTACTACATGAAAGATGCTCAAAGATGTGACTATAGAAATAGGAAAAGTCATCTACTGTAGTAGACTTCAGCTATGCTGGGTTTTCTCCCACCGTTACTGACTACCAGCACCTACTGGTGCTCTCAACCCAGTTTACTTTTAAGCATGACAAGCTTTTTAGTTTTTATTTTTTTATAACATTTTGTATAAAATGCTCTAGGCCATACCGTATTCTGAAAACAGACCAGGTACAAACCCCTTGTTACCTGTGTAACAAAATCCCACACCCCAGCACACAGAAGAATCAGACTGTACAAAATTATTGCTGTTCTAGAGAGGAAGCCGTGCCTAGGGGCTCCCAGGCTGCCCACGAGCCCAGCAGGTGCTGCATGGGGAGGCAGGCTTGTATGAAATCCACGGGCAGGGGGATGCTGTAAAATACACCACCTCTAGGAAACCTGCCCTGCAGCAGAGGCGTGTGTTCAGAGGGAAGGGTCCCTGGGGACAAGGGCCTTTGTGTCCTGAGACAGCTGCTCCTGAACACCTGCACAAACTGCTTGGGGCTCCTGGGCGCAGGACTGGTATGGGGGACCTCTGGCTTGGCATAACAACAGGCTGCTGGTGACTAAAAGGGAGGAAAAACTTTTTCTCAGCCCAGCTGAGATTATAAATTTTGTTATTGGGATGGTGCTGGAGGCCCTGTGCCTCCCTCCAGGGTTGGTGGCAGCCCTGATCCAAAAAGCAGGTCCAAGCCCTGGGGTGGGTGCCAGAAGCTGCTCTGCTGTGCCTCAGCCCTTGGTGGGGCTGAAGGATCATTTCCAGTGTCGAGGCTGGTGTAACAGTCCTAGTCACAACCATGTCAGACACACATTCAAAGAGCAGCTTTCCCAGGCGTGTGGCACGGGAGGACAAAGCACACTGATCCCCGGTGAACACCCGCTGGGACCTGGCGCCAGCCTGGCTGCATCACTCTGCCAGTGTGTCGCTCTGCCAGTGTGTCGCTCTGCCGGCTGGAAAACCAAACACGTTTTCTTCTTTCTTCTCAAACACCATGTCCACCACAGAGGTTTTTTTTTGTTCTCTGACACAAATGCCTTCAGGCTGCTGAGTCTGAGTGTTTGCAAAGGTGGGTGCCCAGAGGGTGCTTCTTGGGCTGAGGAGAGCCCAGGTGAGAGCACCGTGCCACCCTGTGCTCACCTCTTCTGGACCATGCTGCTTGTAACCCACGTCCTGGGGCCCCACCTCACCCCGGGGAGGGGGAGAAGGACTCCCGAGAGCCCTGGGACTGCTTCCAACCGCTGCAAGGAGTGGCCGCAGCAGCCTTGCACCGTGGGTGCTGTCCCAGCGTGTGTCCCCACTCATTTGCCATCACCTCCTGGCCCCTGGCAGTAGTAGGAGTGGAAAAGCCGCTCGTGGGCGCAGACCCTCATGGCCCCGTGCGTGTGCAGCAGCAGCCGGGGGAAGCGGGAGGTGAAGTACTGCACAAAGCCGTCAGGGACAGAGCCCAGGGTCGCCCGGACGTCGGCCGGCAGCTCGTGGTAGTGATGCTTCTGCAGGAGAGAGGAGGGTGAGGTGAGCAGGGGTGGGCAGGTGGCGGGGACGGGGGGAGCTGGGGCAGCTGTACCTTGTTCCTCATGGCCCGCAGGAGGTCACGCACCGAGCCCCCCTTGTAGGTGCGGAACTTCCTCAGGTCTGGGGAGAGCAGGAGAGATGCTGAGTGAGGCAGGATGCGGCCAGGGAGAGGGGCTGCCACAGCCCCCCGTGGTGCCAGTGCCACCACGTGCCCCAGTGATGCACGGCAGCAAACTGGGGCACTGCTCTGCTCTGCCCTCCCAAGGAAGGGCTGACACATCTACCCACCCTAGTTTTTGGCTCCTAGGCACAAGCAAGTGCTTCCTGCCCAGTAAAAGGCACCGGACCCGGGAGCCCAGTCCCTGCCCGACTCTGCGTGAAAGGCGGCAGCAGGCTCAGGCTGCAGCAGTGAGCCTGGCACCCGTGTGCTCACCTGTCTGCAGCGGGAGGGAGATGTGCATCCTCCAGTTGGTCCTCACCACTGACCGTCCCCCCGCCTCCAGGGCCGAGACGATGGGTCCCTCGACAGGCTCCTTCTCGACGCGGTCACTGACGTCCTGCGTGCCCAAGCACAGGGACCGGGGGTGGTTACGGTGCTGGCTCTTGCCCTGTGCCACCCCATCCAGTGCCAGGGAACAGAGCTGGCGCTGAGGGGGGACGAAGAGGGTTTGGCCCTGACCCTAAAGCCAGGGAGCCCCCACCCCTTGCCAAAGTAGCTCAAAATGAGCACGTTGACCTAAACGCAGCTGTTTCCAGCACTCGTTTTTCAGAGCACACCTACGTTCACTGCCCAGGGGGATGGCACACGCTCACCTGGAAGAACTGCAGCTGCTTCTCCTGACTCCAGAAAAAGGGGTGCACAAGGACCACGGGGGCTGAGGGTCGGCACTGGGGCTCAGGGCTGATCATTGCTGCAATCAGCTCTCGTGCAACAAGCTTGTCTGGTAGGTGAAACAACACAGCAGAGAACTAATGCTCCCAAGAAGGACCGGGAGCTGTGCCCTTTGCCTCAGGGCTTCCCATGGGGACATGCCTGTGGGGAAGGGTCTCACCGTGAGCTTCTTCCTGCAGGCAGCTCAGCTGGTAAGAGCCTGACAAGATGTTGGCCTGTCGCCGCAAGCTGTCCCCAAACGGGTGCTGCCCTCCTGACACCACGTAGTAGAAGACGCAGCCGGCTGAAAAGATGTCCACGGCACACGTCTGCAAAACATGAAGGGGGGGGGATGGGACCCTCACGGCAAAGGGTGAGGAAAGCTTTCCCCTTCCCATTTTTCCATTATTTTATGTGAACACTTGGTCGTTTGCTACAGAGCTGCTGGAAAACGCATCGCACCAGGGCTCCTGCCTGCCCCGCTTTCTGGAATCACTGATTCGGGTCCTTATCAGGGAAGAGGGCTTCAGAGGCACAGACAGAACTCAGGACTTCACAGCCAGATGGACACGTCAGCACTGCTGGTGTGTCACCCAGCTGTGCAAACCAGCCCCAGTATAAGGTTACGTGTAGCATGTTGCCAGCACCAGTACGTGCCCTGCCAGGGGCCAGTACAGCAACCGGCTCCCAGCAGGAACAGGATTTCCTGGGCTAAACAGATGAGCAGAAGCGTAACCTTCACAGCGAGCCACGGCCCCCTCCGACCTCCCCAAGCCGAATTTCCACGCACTGCAGCCAGCTGAGATGCCCTGTGCCGAGCACAGCCATGCACTGTCTCTGCGAGGTCAGGAGAGCAGGGGCAGCCACCAACTAGGGCAGTCCTGGCGAGGAGAGCCAGTGCTCTGCATCTGGGCTGGCTTTTGGGCTCTCGGAGCTTTTGTCTTAATCGTGTATTTCAGCGGCACGCCACGAGGCTGCTGCCAGCACAGGGGACTCTGTCACGAGGGGCTCAAGGAGGACCCTAGGTGGGGGGAGGCATCCACGGCTCACTGACGGGGTTCTCCTTCGGGGCTTCCTGGAGCACCTCGGGCGCGATCCAGCCCTCGGTGCCAGGGATGCCGGAGCGGAGGCTGAAGCTCTGTCGTCCCCCCTGAAGCTTCTTGCAGAGGCCAAAGTCGGAGATGACAGCTCGGATCTGCCCGTGGCGATTTGGGACGGAGATGAGGATGTTACAGGGCTTCAGGTCACGATGGACTGGAAGAGAGAGTGTGCAGTCACCTGCCAGCGCAGCGGCAGGGCTGAAGCAGAAAAGGGCTCTGCCTGCCGCCCCGCAAGCTGCTGACCCTGCCAGCTGCTGCCTGAACCCCACAGCCTCGGCTGAGGACAGGACCAAGACGGGACTCGCTGCCCTCCTGCCCGTGCGTGGCAGCGGGTCGCTGCCCTCTTACCGATGCTGAGGGAGTGGAGGTGGGCCAGCCCGGACATGGTCTGACGCAGCAGAGACACCGGGTCCAGGCTGCGACGATCGAAGCTGGGGCTTTCCACGTACTGGAATAACATAGAAGTGGAAAGAGATAAACTGAGCCCTGAGTTACTGGGGCAAACAAGGCAAGGCTTGTCGGGAGAGACTTCTCACTAGGCTTACAGAGGTGGAAGGAGACAAGCCCACGCGGAGGCCATTTGTACCCAAGGCTTGCCATTTCCAGGTCTACCAGTCAGCATCTATTCCCTCTGCAGCAAACCGCCCTCACTTGTGTCCTCCGACCTCCACAGCTTCAGCAACACTCCCGCTTTACGGAGCGTTAAAAGGATGCTCCTCCTCCCCCAGGCTGAGTCTCTTCCCAGCATGTGAACAACTGCCCCGGCTGATGCGGAGGCTCGGAGCTCCCCAGCTCCCTCCTGAGAGGGCGAATTGGCAGGAGAACAGGGGCAGGGGCTTGACGGACACAGGAGCAATGCTGCTGCTGGCTGCTCTGCCTCTCCAAAGTACCTCGCAGCCTGCCCATGCCCGATCCGACCCCTGTTCCCTCTGACTGCTGGGAAGCAGGTTCGGAGCAGGGCTGTACGCCCGAGGCCAGGCAGGAAACAGAGGCCTCTGAAACCAGGAGCCGCTGGCTGCCAACCCTGCCCTCGGGCATGTACAGCACGCTGCTCCCCCAGGAGCACTGCAGGACCTCCCTAAGAGCACAGACAAGAACCCTGGGGACCGATCTGCAAACACAGAGATGGGGATGTCCAGAACCGATCGACAGCCACCCGGCAGTAGTCCCATGCAGCCGCCCCCATGCCCCCAGCACCAGGCTCACCTCCTGCAGCGTGGCAGAGCAGAGCTCGATGGCGATGTAGTGGAACTGCTTGTCCTTCTCGGTGCAGAAGTAGCGGACAACGTGGGGGTGCTCATCCGACTCCCGGAGCAGCTGGACCTCGCGGTCCACGAGGTGGAAACATTCGGGCAGAAGGCGCTTCACGGCCACGTTCCGGCCATCAAACTGTCCTCTGTGCGGAGAGTCAATGGTGGTGTCCCTGCACGGCCCTCCCCAGCCAGAGTGGAGCCCAGCGCTGCAGATGGGCAGCTCAGCCAGGCTCTGGCTGATGCTGGAAACTCGCCCCTTGGGGTCCTCAGCATGGGTCACCTTGGAGTGACTCCCAAAGACTTGTCAAAGCCATGGACAGGCAGAAATCTCTGCAGTGAGCTGGAAACTGGGGGTTTGGGTTCCCCTTTTTGTAGGAAAATAACTTCCCTCACTTTATGCTGTGTTCAGTGCTGGGGGAAGGGGCTCAGCCAGAGCCAGGGGACCCTTACGAGGGACTAGACCTACCACTGCTGAGAGCTGCCTGGAGCAGGCACAGCCCAGCTGCCTGACAGCCTGGCACAGGCAGGAGGGGATGGGCAGCACAGGGGGGTGGTGCAAGGGGAGACCTGCCCTGCGTACCCGGTACCTGGTTACTGAAGGCCATGAGCCCAGCTCTCGAGATGGGTTTGATGAAGACCATGAGAATGGGAGGGTGGCAACCCATTCTGAGAAGCCCCCGAACCACCAGCCGCCAGCCAGGAAAGGAGCTGCCTTCACGCTGTACTTGTGGCTCCCAGGTGAATGAGAGCAGCATGAGGGCAGGCACCCGGGGTACCACCCACCTGAAGACAAAGGTTCCTCCAGCTCCATGGCCCAGCACATCCTTGGGGTTAAAAGAAACTTTCCCAACTACAATCACATCTGGTTCTGCATCTGCAGAGGAAGAGGAGGACAGTCATCCTTCAACCTATGAGTCTGTCCTATAGGAAGGACATCCAGTTCTTCATCCACCTGGCCATTCTTTGGGTCCTGCTACTCTTGCAATTGTTTTTGTAGCCCATGCTTATCTGGCAGCAGGTTTTGCATCTCCTCCCCCATCAGCTGGGGTGCAGCCCCCTCATCTTTGGGGCATCTTTGCTCCCACTTTGGGTGAGAACACCTACAGACAGACAGCCCCTCGCACCTTGCCCATTCCCACCTGCACACACCTTCAGCAGCCGCTGGGACAGCCGGATCTGAGCTGACCATCCCATTAGACAAGCCCTTCGGGCAGGCCGAGGGGCTGGAGCTCTGCGAGAGCTGCAACGCGCTTCCCTGGCTCAGCCCCGGCTCCCTGGGCTCTGCAGGGACACCCTCCTCGGAGACCCGGCTTGGGAGCAGCATCTCCTGCTGCTGCTGCAGGAGCTGAATCTGCTTCTCCAGCTGCTGCTGCTGCGCCGCATGCTGCTTCTGCAGTTTCTGGAACACAAACCATGGGAGCAGTGAGCTCCAGCGCCCAGAGCAGAGCCGGGGCATCGGCAGGACTCAGCACAAGCCGTGCACGCACCGCCTGTCCCTGGCCCA